GGTAACTTGGTGGAAATGACGAAACCTTTAACACATCTAAAATTAACCAAGGAAAAATTTACAGATATGCGTATTGCAGCTGGTTGTGACTACATAGAAATATCCGAGGTATTGGCCAACCTCGTACCCAGGGCCTTTGCGCGGTTCAGAGGCTCTGGAACGGGAAGAAAAGGCCCTGGTAAACACTGGTCATGTGACTCCAAAAATATTGGACATTTTTGTAACCTGGCCTTATTAAGGTCATGTCATCCCGGGGAGATGAACAACTGAACATTGCAATGCACGAACTATAAAAGTTTCATTTTTAAAATATGAATGTATAACAATTGTTTGAAAATTCATATTTTAAAACAACAGGCAGATTTTAGGCTTGTTTTTATTTTGATGGAAATTATAAACTTTGAAGTCACATGGATTTTGAATGCTATAAAGAATGCAGTATATTCGAGGTAAAGAATTTTATGATGCATACACTGTAAATTTTAAGGAGTTGAATCAAGTCCAAAAGAGTTATTTTGTCACGAAAAACGGTGACAGAATGACACTTTTAGAGTTGATTCAACTCCTTAAAATTTACAGTGTATATAAAATTATATTCTCATATATTTTAATATTTATCAGTTTATATATCCTAAATTCCAGCAGATTCGTGGCTGTCTGTTTGTATAATTAGTTTTCTTCGTTTAATTACTCCTCCATCTTTCGCTTTTGGATATATACCCTCCTTCATGCCTTATATATATATTTTTTGGTTATCTCCATCATTCACTTAGTTCACTAGAATCAAAATTTTCTGTTTCAGCTTGCTCAGAAAATATTCAATCTTTCATAACTGGAGTTCTCTTTGACGTGTAAAATAGTTAGCCAATACCCTCAGTAAAATACTTATTTAACTGGCTGACCATAACAGTAGTCAATAGTTAATAAATGAATACATGCAAAAATTACAAATTAACTGCCCTCATACCAATCCATTGGTCTCTGACTCATCCAATAAATACTTAACAGAATAGTACCATAATAATAGAAAAGTGTGAAAATGCCAACGTTACCTAACTTTGTGTGACAAGAAAGTTAGAATACATCAATTTTACAGTCAGGTATTCTTTTCTTTATCGCCTCGATACTCTGGTTGATGATTCCAATGGCCCCCATAAAATTCCAATGGCCCCCATAAATTTCCAATGGCTCCCCATAAATTTTACTGGAGAAAATGTTTCCCCCACCTCTTGCCATTTAAATCTCCATAGCCCCCAATTTTATCCATCCAAGGGAGAGTCTTGCCTGGTCACACTACAGTAATGGGAATATGCATGGGATAATCAAATATGGCATACTTTGTTATTTTTCTCTGTCCAACACCAGGCAATTTTACTTGTCAAGTGTAAGATTAAGTGAGTAATAAAAAGTGGCTGGATATTCCATATATTTGGACTTTGGTTGTGAGCAAAATGTAAAAAGACAATTACCTAATACTGCATGGCCTTACTTGACCTTGCAACTTTGAGTAGTTGTGCTGTTACTAATACAGCGGAATGTGGTTTCAAATGACAGGTATTTTATGGCAATTATGATATTCATTTATTTATTTTATTTATTTATTTAATTTGCCTTGTGCATATTACAGTGGCAGGGAATATGCAACAGCGTTTGCCAATTATTCCAGTGTGCCAGTAAGACATTTGTCGTTTGTTTCTCTTTTAGTATTATATCGAAAAGGTGATTGCAGGTATTGAGATCCTGGAGTGATGTGAAATGGCCCTGACCTTGGGCAATTATATAATATATGGGTGGTGTAAAATAGGAATTTTTTTATTCATTCTGATTGACTAATGAAATTAGAATGGTGAGAATAATGATGATGATGGTAGTGAAATACAAGTTGTGATGATATTGGTGAAGCACAAGTTGTAAGGATACTGCTGATAATGAAAATATATTGTATTTGTACATACCAATTGTAATGAGACATAAATAATAAAGAGATTGGCAGTAATAAATGTGTATGACTGGTCGGCACTAGATCATAGACAAGATACGCACATATCTGAAACTGCAATACATACGAGTCAGCGGTATTCCATATTTAAAATTTAAATAAATTAGTGCGCGAAATTGGAAAAAACGCGCGAAACCAAAGCAATATGGCTTCCATCGAAGAGTATAGCGATAGTGACCGGGTGCTTGTTTGCGCTTCACAAGCAGAAATGCTTGAGAAATTTGAAGAGTACAAAATAAAAACAAGTAGTGGTTGGAGATGTATCAAATTAAACGCAATTTTTGGTACGTGAACTAATTTCAATATGTAAATTTGTCTTATAAATATTCATACGAATACCGTGTGTGCAATATTTATGAAAGATCCAAATTATGCATACATAAAACCTTTATCGATTTACTGCAGTACTACACTCATATAATAATATAGTATGTCTTTATAAAGGTCGAAAGATGCATGTGCTTTAGAATTATATAGTAAAACTCACTGGATAAAAACCTTTCATAAGGGACCATTCATTAATGGGAGGAGGGAGGGGGGGATGGTGGGTGATAGATACCAAATACTGAACATTTTTTAGAGCTGCCCCAATCGCAAGACCTTTATTTTCAAGATGCCCCCACCTTCATTTAGAAAATTTAGGACCCCCCTCCAGTAACAACATTTAATTGTTACTTAGTTGGTGTAAAATAGGTAATGGGACAAGTACTGCATGGTGTAAGATATTGTGTAGCCTAAATAATAAGAGGACCAGTATTCAAAATGGTTGTTATTTACTCTGACTCCTATCGTGAACTGTATATACGTAATAAACTATGGAAACTACGATTATAGGAACTAAAAAAGGTGGGATATTTTGTGGGATACGATAAAGGCAAG